TAAGGACTCCAATATACCAAATGTAGATATAGTTGTCAAAGGGTTAAGGACTCTACTAGAGCATCACAATGTGTTTGCTGCTATAGAATCTGCACTCTCTCCAGATCAATACTGTCCAGGAGCAAAAAAAATAGTGATTCAGAATGGTCTTCAGCTTCATAAGGCTCCTAATGCTCCCTTTGAGTAGGATGACATCACCTGCAAATGAAAGATGATAAATAGTAGGCACTCTCTCTACATTAGAAGGCATCAGTTTGTTAAAGGCAATGGATTTGTTGGAGTTCATTTGCAAGTGGTCAACTGGTTAGATTCAAAATGGCCCGGTTGTCCACTTGAGGGGGAGTGTTAGAGTCTATCCCACATCGGAAAGTTGAATATAAAAGTTATCGGTATATAAGCTCTTGAGTTTAACTAACTAATCGATTGGATTTAATCTTTTAATGTGGTTCAGCCCAAGTGTCTTATTACCCAATCTAGTTATCCATACCCCATCCTAAATTCTAACATGGTATTAGAGCAGGTCCGGTCCGGGTTTGATTGTTCCTGGTTGTTTGGATGTGGGTTTAGCAAAAATGAGCTACCCGTCTGTGGTTTGGGCTGAGTTGGCTAAAAAGAGATTGAGATGCCACCGCCCGTTGTGTGGGCTAGCTATAAGAGATTGAGATGCTAGACCCATTTATCCAAGTGCTAACTAGGCCAGGCTAGTTACCACTTGCGGGGGGAGTGTTGGAGTTCCCACATTGGAAAATAAAGATGAGTATCACTTGCATATATTGAAGGGTGAAGCCCTACCTATCAGTTTAAGCTTTTGGGTTAGAATTGTGGATCCCGACTTTATATGCAAGTTGTTAATTTTACCCGACACTCTATCCGTTGTTCTTGGCCCGCCAGAATTTTAAGAGGATTCCTTGATAGATCTGGATAGTTCTTGAGCTCCTAAAATGAAGAGAATGGGAGAAAGTGGGTCATCCTGCCTCACCCATCTCTTCAACTGGCAGAAGCCCATAGGGACACCATTGCTACAGATCTATCACCCAAAGGCCAGGAGGACAACCTTGAGATAGAGGATCAAGACATTGTGTCAAATGCCTTGGCCATATCCAGTTAGATAACAATGTTGTCCCCCCAGTCCTCGTGATCTAGTAAGTGCACCAGCTCATTTCTGATAAGGATATGGTAATCTATCCCTTTTCCTTGTTGGAACCAAGCTTGTTCCTATGAGCTCACCCTTGGGCCTTGGCAGCAGAGCACTCATTCTGGTGGCATTAATTCTAGTATTAGTCTTGCTGACATAACTTGAAAGGGATATTGGCCTGAAATCCTAGCCCTTCAGTCGCTAGTCGCTACCCTAGTCGCTACCTTATTTCCGACTTGATAACCATGTTAAAATAAGGATCGGGCCGGATTTGGATTGGTCCCAAAAGTTCCCTATTTTTTAAACAAGACCAAACTAGTCCGGACTAATTCCAAAAAAGGATTGAACCCATCTCATCCTAAATAGTACTGGTCTTTTTAAGTGACTGATACGGTCCAACTGGTCCAGTCCTTTTGCTCATCTTTGCTGGGTGGCCAACTTTGAAATCTAGGTCTAGAATGTCAGTAAGGCTCTAAGCAAAAAAAAAACTTGCAACCCTTTGTAAAACTTAGATGACTCTCTCTTGAAGTTCCTTTGATAGTTCACTCATCATAGTAATTTTATCAAACATCTAATAATGTTATTTTAAAAAACTATTTTTTAATTAAGGAAAAGTATTACCCATGCAGGCCGACCCGACCCGAAGCACATGAATACACGTGCATTCTGTGCTTGAGCTTTAATTATTAGGCCCGCTATACGGGCTCAGGCTTTAATTAGACTGGGTGCTTTCATGTTTGGATTGTTATGCCCGGTATCACGTTCAGCACACATTTTGAAAAAGTAAGGGAGTGGTGAAGAGAGAAGAGGTAGGATATTTCTTATTTTGGTTTTGAAGGGGAATGAGTGGGTGTTGGGGGAGAAGCAACAAGTAGGATACGACACCTACAAGGATCAACTTCAAGACAACCAACCAAACACTCTTAACCCAATTTACCACAATTGATTAACCAAGCACACAAAACCAGCAACACATCAAATAAACCACAATCAAATATGAAGAATAAAGATGCAAACGACACACGATTTTTATACGTGGAAAACCCCTTCGATGTGAAGGATAAAAACTACGGAACTTATAGGGAGTCCGCCCTCTTCTTGTCTTATTATGCAAATTGAGGGTAAAAAACCCAAACTCAGTCTAAACATTATTATCTCATGTTCTTTTCCTATTTGTCATGCTTTTTAGGTAGGTGTGAATCAAAAACCTCCATTTAGCATTGAAGTGAGCTTTGTTGAGCTGCTTATCATCAAAGTTACCATCATAACCCATCTTTCTGACAACATATTGGATATACTCCTCTGAGAATGTTTTCAGGGGCATTCACTTCTTCATATCCCAGTTGTAATATCCTTCTTATCAAATCCTCAGTGATAACAATTTGTAGCCCAAGAACAGTTGCTTCCAGAGTCTCTCTTACTACCACAACAGATGACCAGAAGTCCCTTATGTGAACCTCAATATGATTCTGGTCTAGTAGTCAAAGCATGCCTGACTCTAGTTCTGTTGATGTAGTTGATGAGATCCATATGTAACTCAGCTTTATGGCTTGCAGCATCTAGGAATGCACATATATTGTGATCTGTAGCAAAATGCAAATCTGCCATCTTTTCTCCACACGTGTAATCACATAGTTAGATCAATGATTTGATGAGTTTGATGATTACAACATTAAAAATGTTGTTATTTGATGTTATTAATGAATGCTTGATCAACAAACATTTGTGTTATTAATAATAACATTTGATGTTGTGACAAAGTTTGAAATTTTACAAGTTTTTGTCATTTGATCAACAGGCTTTGACACAAAACCTTATCAATGTTACATCAAATTGAAATCTCCTATCTATAAGTTCAACAAACTTGCATTCAACTAGGGCTGTCACTTTTACCCGAAACCCGAAACCCAACCCGAAGAAACCAGAACCCGAACTAACCCGACCCAAAGAACCCAAACCCGGAAAAAGGCTAACCCGAACCTGAAGTAATTCTTATAAGTATAATTTTGGACACCTAATAAGTTAGCATATTACTTGTAAACCTTTAATAAAATTTATAGTTATCAAATTAGATATGGGCCCGTGAGTAGAATACCTATAATAAATAAATTGCCGACTATAAGCAAACACCCTAAATTCTAATCACTTAGAGCATCTCCAAGGAGTAGTGCAAAAATGAGTAAAGTCTAAAAATGGAAGGTTTAGCATTTACGTACTGTACAAATTTTAGGGCTCCAGTGGGTAGTGTATAAAATAGAAGGGAGTGTATTTTTCCATTCTCGAATGCCAAATATACACGCTAAGGTAGATTGTGGAAATCAAGTTCTGCCTTTTCGCTGCTATCTTCTCTGCTTTGCCAATTGCCAATCGAGCTCTTCCCGTTCGCCAATCGCCAAATATTATGTTCCGTTGCTCCTCTGCAACTATGAAGATCCGGATTTGCATAAAAAAATTGTTGTGATTGCCTGCAATTTCAAGCTAGGCGACTGTGTTTTTTTCATTTTGATGTCGGCGACTACAAATTCCTTTTGATATGCAATTATGGATTTTATTTTGTAGATTTGTAAATTTGTTAGTAAAGATTTAAAATTAAACTATGAAATATATACTAAAATAATATAAAAATGTATTTTTTAAAAGATATGATTGGAGTGAGCATAAAAAAGTGGAAGTGTAAAACACTGCTGGTATTGTAAAAGAAGGTTTACACTATCATTTTTTTTCACTACCCCTTAGAGATGCTCTTGTTGGAATAGCTTAGATATTTTTTCTTCTCTCCTTTTTCTGTTATGGTAGTTACGGTTGTTAGTTTGTTTCTCTCTCTCCCTTTATATATACATCTCCTGTACTCTTTTCTTCTCAAGCAAGTTAATCTGATAATATCTTCTCTTCATTTCTCTCTTTACGTCCATGGAGAAATCCTCAAACTCCAACAGCTCTTAATGGCGGCTAACAGGTTGCAAATTATGATTGACTTATAATGTTGGCAAACTTATTCGCTTATTTACGTTACGAAAGTGAAGAAGAATATGTTTTGATTCTAGGATTGTACGGAGTAGTTTATATATGCAACAGCAATTGAACATCAATTTACAAATTCAATCTCAGGGATTAGACTAGCTTACAGAATCTAGGGTTGACATATGAATCACAGTAGAAGGAAGAATTCAAGGTAGAAATCAGTTTACTTAGAAGAATTGGATACTAACTTCAGAATCGTTGGTGATTTTTGAAGTTTTAGAAGTTGAATAGATACCTGCGATAATGATGAAAATCCTAAAAAGATGTTTTGCAATGGGATTGTTGGTGATTTTTGAAGTTTTAGATAGGCGGGAATGAGGGTTTTGACTCTGTGGCGGGTATGAGGGAATGAGGGTTCAGTCGTTGGTGAATGTGGGGGGATTCAGTCGTCTTGGGATTTTAAAGGATCAACTGAATATCTTGTAATGAAGAGGAGTATAATGTAATACTCCCTTCGTCCTATAATGAAGTTCCCACATTGACTTTTCTTCATTTTTAAGGGAGGGAACTTTTACACCTTGACTTCCGATTATACCCTCCCCTTAAAAAAACCATTGGAGCATTTGTAAAAGAAAAGATCACAGCCACACATTGATTTGTTCGAATTATTCATTGTCAGATCTATTACAACTACGGCAAACTTTTGGCACTAGTCTCAAAATCAAAAATGAAAACATTTTACAAATAGGAGGGAAATTTCTAAAAATTTCCCTCCAAATACAAACATAAAGTCCACCAAGGCCATATCCTATAAATATCCAACCCTTCTAAAATTAGAAACTCCACCCCCCAAAAAAACTGCAGCTCCTGCCCACTATTCATCTCACATGCCTGATACTCACACCGCTGCTCCGCCTCACACCGTTGCTCCGCCTCACACCGCTGCTCCGCCTAACACCGATGCTCCGCCTCACACCGATGCTCCGCCTCACACCGATGCTCTGCCTCACACCGCTGCTCCGCCTCACACCGATGCTCTGCCTCACACCGCTGCTGCTCCGCCTTACACCGATGCTCCGCCTCACACCGCTGCTCCTCCTCACACCGTTGTTCCTCCTCTCCCAAGCAGAGATGAGAACCTGCAAATGGAAAATGAAATAAGGAGCAAAAGGCTCACAAATTCAGAAAGACAAAGAATTGTAGAAGCAATCTTACCGTACACAAAAACAAAATCAGGTAAGTACACAGCTCAGAAAGGAGCTATCAACAAGGTTGCTGCTCAATTTAATGTTTCAAGAAGATCTGTAGGGGAGATATGGAGTAGAGCTAGAAAACAAATGCAGGGGGGTGTTGCCATTGATGTGAATAGTCAGGTTCGATTGAAGTGTGGAAGGAAAAGGAAGGTGATAGACATAGAGTCCATTCCGAACATTCCTCTAGCCAAAAGAACAAGCATTAGGGCCATGGCTGCTGCCTTAGGTATTTCAAAGTCAACATTGCATCTTTGTATTAAAAGAGGATTGGTCAGAAGTCATTCAAATGCAATTAAACCATACCTAACTGATGCAAACAAGTTGCAAAGATTGCAATTTTGTTTGAATCAGATAGAACCCATTAGCATCCCATCTAACCCGAGGTTTAGATCTTTCCATAATGTTCTTCACATGGATGAGAAATGGTTCTTCATGTCCAAGACATCACAGAAATACTACTTGACTCCGAATGAAATGGACCCTTACAGAACATGCAAGTCAAAGCGTTTCATTACTAAGGTCATGTTTTTATGTGTGGTTGGTAGACCCTTAATCTCAGAAAAAGGGGAAGTGTTGTGGGATGGAAAAATTGGAATATTTCCATTTGTTGAAACTGTGGCAGCTAAAAGAAAGAGTAAGAA